GATTTGTTCAAGTACACCTTCAGCCCCTTTCTCTCTCTCTCTTCCTCCTCTGGAATTCCTATTATACAGATATTGTTCCGTTTCATTGCATCACTTAGTTCTCTAATTCTCCCCTCATACTCCTGGATTTTTTTCTCTCTCTTTTTCTCAGCTTCCTCTTTTTCCATAATTTTATCTTCTAATTCACCTATTCTTTACCTCTGCAATCCGAGCTGTGGTCGCCTCCATTTTATTTTGCACCTAATTTATAGCATTTTTTAGCTCCTCATGACTATTTCTTAGTCCCTTGACCTCTGTAGTAATAGATTCTCTGCTGTCCTCTATGCTTTTTTCAAGCCCAGCGATTAATTTTATGACTATTTTTCTAAATTCTTGTTCCGTTATATTGCTTAAATCGTTTTTGATCAATTCGTTACTGTCGCTACTTCCCGGAGTTTCTTTTGAGGACAATTCTTCCGTTTCGTCATTTTGGACAGTCCCTGGAGTGGCGCGGAACTGCAGGGCACTTCCCCTGTACTGTCCGGAGTAACTTGTTTCAGTGGGCGGGCCACAGCCAGACCCGATGTCTGCTCCCAGCCCACCGCTGGGGCCACAGTCAGACTGGTGTCTACCTTATCTTCCCCTCTCCCAGGGGCAGGACTCACTGTGGGGTGGTGTGGTCCCTGTCTGGGCTACTTGCACACTGCCAGGCTTGTGGTGCTGCTTCGATGGGATCTGGCGTATTAGCCAGGGTGGATCCGCAAGGTGCACAGGGGCGGGAGGGGCAGGCTCAGATCGCTTTGCCGTCGGTGGTCCACTGCAGGAGGGGCCCTGCAGCGACCGGGAGGGAGGCAGACCCATCAGAGGGATGGATCCACAGAAGCACAGCACTGGGTGTTTGCACGGTGCAAGCAAGTTCGGTGAACTGGTTCCCTTTGGGGTTTCGGCTGGGGGATGGGAGAGGGAGATGGCGCTGGCCAGCGCCTTTGTTCCCCACGAGCTGAGCTCTGTCTTCCGGGGCTCAACGACTCTCCCTCCCGTTGTCCTCTAGCCCTCTCACTCTCCGAGCAGAGCTGTTCACTTTTAACATTCCAGATGTTAAGTCCCACTGGCTGTCAGAACTCACGCAGTCCGGCCCCTCCGCTTTTGCAAGCCAGGCTCGGGGGCTCCGCCTCGCCAGGCGGGCTGCCCCTCCACCGACCCCGCTCCCTCCCACCAGTCCATGGAGCGCGCACACCTCTCCGGCCTTCCTACCCTCCTCCGTGGGCCTCTCGTCTACGCTTGGCTCCGGAGACTCCGTTCTGCTAGTCTTCTGGCGGTTTTCTGGGTGATTTAGGCAGATGTGGGTGGAATCTAAGCGATCGGCAGGACGCGGTGAGCCCAGCGCCCTCCTACGCCGCCACCTCAACACTAGCTAACTTTGGGGTCTTTACATGGGCTACTCCTTGAATTCTCACACCAACCCCATGAAAAAGAAACTCTTAACACTTTCATTTAGCAGATGAGAAAACTGAAGTCAAAGAGGTTAAGGAGTTTGTCCAATGTCACATGGCAGCGAGCAGAAGAGCCTAACCTCAGGCACCCTGAGGCCAGAGTTCACACCCTTAACCACGTGTGGCTACACTCACAATTCACTCTATACTGTGTGCGTTTGAATAAATATCCCATCGATGATTAGGCAGATATATCTCTCCCAACTGTCACATCTAGGTAGTAGGATTTCAGATGATTGTTATTTTCTTCTTTACGTTTCTCTTTTTGATTTGAATTTTAATAGGCAAGGGTTTTTTTCTTATAATTAGAAAAGAATGGCTTTTACACTTGTAACACAGTATAGAGGTCCGACATTTTAAAAGTAAGGGTAAAATGTACCCTTTAGGAAAGGCCAAACGATACTTTTTAAAACTGTATAATACGAGATAATTTGCTTTAGTCCCAGATTAAAAAGATACCAACTTTGCAAAAAAGAAGTTGCCTAACTGTAAAGATTGTTTTGAATGAAGGCTCGATAACAACGAAAAGCCTTCCGTCCGACAGCATATAAAATGAAACGCCTCCGCACATAGGCACATCCCGTCCTATCCAGAAGGAGGCGGCCAAAAGCGCCAGTGGAGCTGGGCAACGATAGGATGTTTAGAGCAGAAGGAGCCTTAGGGGTCACTTAGTCCCGTGACCTCACTGTATCATATTCACCAGGTCCGAAATCACACAACCAGCATGGCAGACACAGACTGAAATCCAGTGCTCTCTGAATGATACCAGGCAGTATGAAAAAGACCTTTTCCTTTTTTTTTCCCTTTTTGTGAACTTAGTCAACAAAGTCAGTTTTACCGTCTTGTCATTAGAACAAACGCCGGCCCGGCCACTCTGGGCAGCTGAAACCTAGCTCCCTGAAAGTCTCACAGACTAACTCCAGGGCCAGTGTTGGTTGGACTCTGCTCTGAACCGTGCCAGGTGGGAAAAGAGTGTCCGTGAAGGCTTGTTGGTGGATCTCGGGAAGCCTTGATCCCTCTGAGGCTCCCGCACATAAAATGCCCTCGAGGCTCAACACTGTTGGTGACAGTCCTTGAAGGCCCACTCTGCTCTGTTCACGCTTGCTTTCAGCTGTTCTGCGCTCAGGCCAGCCACCGCACCACAACGAACTTACCACCCTGGTGACCTAAGACGCCCCCTCCCGCCGCGCCACACCTTCTGTGCGGTCTTCTTCCCGTCCCTGTAACCCACCGAGGGGCACCCATTGCTCAGGGAATTTCTGTCTCTATATAGGAACACCTCTGGGATGCTCTCTCCTTGGGGGATCCCTGCCCCTGTGCTCTGCACGCAGCAGGGTGCAGGTATGGAGCACTCAGTGTTGCAATTCACTGGCCAGCGGAATCCAGGCCTGTGCTAAACCGCTTCTCCCCACCGGCGGGCCCAATGGCATGAAGAGCAAGTCTAAGGCAGTAAAAACAAGAAGCCTCAGGACAGCCTTGGCCTAAGCTGAGTTCTGCAATCTGCTTTGACCAGAGAGTCTTCATGGGAGCTTGGTCTACCATCATCACCATGCACATGACTAATAAATACACGTGACCAAAATACCAGAGGGGGGCACATGAGGGCGTGAAGTGTGGGTACAGAAAAGAGGCTCGTGGTCCCAATCTAAAAAACAATGATCCAACATATGTAGTCTTCTTGGGCACTGGACGGTAGAACGATTTCTGCAACCACAACCAATTCCCCCCTTTCACCCAAGCTGTCAACCAGGACAGCAGCCAGGAATGACTAAAAGGCACAGCATACAGGTTCCAGAGACACTCTGGGGCACAGGACAGCTGTCCCAAATTCTGTTCTTACCGTGTGTTGTACTGCACACAGCGCCAAAGAGAGGCCTAAAAACGAACTGGATTCAGGCGCTTTTACATTAGCTACTGCAATCACCTGCCTACAGGAAGAGGTGAATCCTGACCATAGTGGCTGAAATGTGCATATGAAGATAAACACACTGTGAGTTCAGCCATGGGGCCAGGAGTACATGCATCTTTTATCAAGGATCAAGAAAAGAATAGGAGACTCTGTATTCTCTTCCTGAGCTTGGGGGTGGGGGGAGCCAATGGAATTATAAATCCAAAGGCTAGTTAGAAGGAAATGCACAGGTATCTTCAGAAATCACCGTATTTCAGACCCGAGGAGAAACATAAACCAAAATTACTCAGTCACGAAGCAGCACAGGAACAGATCATTGAGAGAAAGACGAAGGGCCACACTGATTGAGCTGGAAAATGAGAGGGATTTCCCGAGGAGAAAAGGTGCAATTTTAATGGCCGGGGCTAGATGGAAGGACAGGACCCTTCTGGAGGCTCTGAGGGTAAGAAAACAGAGCCGTCTTCTGAAATCTGCAACAGGCTGCTAATGACGAGGGCAACTGGGAGACACTCCTTCCTAGAGACCCAGGGCAGCTGCCTCTCCGAGTTACATAAGCTGTGCAAATCTGGGAGTGGTAAGTCAGCACACCGTACACACCCACCCGCACTAGAGTTTCTCGGCGACACTGATGAGGTAAGGAAGCTGGTGAGGCCCATGTGAGAAACACATCTGGGAACCTGATGGCATCAGGATCGCACCGGAAGATGCAGGAGAGGCGAGACAGACATACTGGAAGGCAGCCTGGCCACAGCAGCCCAGGCCTAGGCCTAAAGAGATGCTGCACCAAGAAGGCCACCTCTGCACAGAAGCACCCAACGGGGCCTTGCCAGGACTGCCCTCCTCTCATTCACACTTCCTGTCTGCTCTGGAATCACATCTGAAACCCTGGAGCAGCACTGCATGTCACCTGCAAGCATAGCACTTGACTCAAAACTAAAGCTCTGATATGTGATAAAAGCATGAATCCATACGATGATCACACAACCATATAAAAAGACGTTTACGGAGAATTTTTAACGATCGGGGGAAATGCCAAGCAGGGGTAAAAGCAGACAACAAAGTAATATAACAATATGACCCCAATTATGTAACATGTACATTTAATACACAATAAAATACAAAAAGAATGAAGGAGTATTGCACCAAAATGTTAAGAGGGTTGGTTAAATTACATGGGATTTTCATTTTCATCCTTATACTCTTTTCTCTATCTTCTAAGGTTCTACAATGAAAAAAAGTTTCACTGGCTTTTTTTTTTAAGCACACACACCAATTTACTAGGCCCTTTCTATTCCCTTGCATTACTTTAGATCTTTTAAATTTCATTCTTCACCGGTAATTCCGCAATTCTTTCAGCAAAAGCTGGTCAGAACACACATGATCTACTTCCCACGGTGAATTTAAAACTAGGTGTCCTCACAGAATGGGCCCTCAGAAAATATCTGGTTCTGTAAGTTAGTGGGAGACTTCAAATCGAAAGCAGGCAGAGAGTAAAGACGTGACTTTTGAAAGACGCCACAGGACTCGAGTTTTGGAAATTAAACCGCAGGATTTAAGGCCATGGGCCACAACCGTTTTGCAGTCCGAATAAACCTCCGCTGTCCTTTTGAAGCCCGGAACCTCTGTGCACTGTCCTGGCTGCTGGAACAGCCTTCTGCAGCAGACGGCGCGCACCGAGTCCGGCGCTGGGCAGGCAGCAGGAAAACAGAAGCAGCCTATAGGAGGAGAGCTCGATTCCATCCACGTTTCTCAGGTGTCCCAGGCACTGCCCCTGACTTGCATTTATTGCTTAAAAAGTACTACGTGTGCCAGTGGAGAGCCCGGAAACCCAATCACCCCGATGTGAAAGGGAGCATGACCCTGCAAGTTCGCGGCAGCCACACTAGTTCGGACATATCCCAAGCGTCCCGGCTCCCCAGGCGGCCCGAGAAACGTGAATCTTGCGCCGCTGAGCTGGTCCTTCCAAAAAACGTCCTTCGATAGGCTTGGCCGCCTTTCCCAACCCCACCCACGACCTCACTCCCCTGAGCTCCGAAGACCCCAAGTCCCCATCCTGACCAAAGTCCCAGCTTTCGGCTTCACCACGTTTCTTCCAATACTCAGCCCTCCATCCCAGACTCCTATAGGCTCTCCCCAGCCCCCACCTGCGCCTGCCACCCCCCCATACTTTCAGTCCTCCCTCCCCAACCCCCATCCGCGCCCATCCCGGTCCCACTTCCCCATTCCCGACACTGCCCCGGGGAGGTGCCCCGGGGAGGTACCCCGGGAAGGAAGGGCTGTGGGAGGCGCCCCTGGAGGCGCGCCGCCGCCGCCGCCGCCGCCAGGCAGCCGGGGCTCAGTCCCACACGGACCCCGGCTCCGCGCCGCCGCCGACGAGAGGGGCTGCGGGCCCCTCCCCCACTCACCGGCCGCAGCGGCGCTCCACGTCTTCGGAGGCGGGCCCGACGGCCGGCGCCACGGGGAGGCAGAGCCGCGGACGCTCGAGGCGGGGGGCGGGCCGAGGCCTGCAGGGAGGGCGCGCCGGGCGCTGGGTGTGGCGGGCCTGGCGGGGCCCAGACTCCAGGGTGCGCGGGCTGGGCCGGACCACGTCGGGACAGGCGGGGCCCGGCACTGCGTCGCCCTGAGCGGGGCGGGGCCTAGTGGGGAGTCCCTCCAAGGCTGGGGCAGGAACGGCTCCGGAGAAAAGGTTGGAAGGGCCTGGCTGGCTTTTGGCCGGGAGTGGGAACGCGGCGGGGCACGGGAGAGGCGTGCCTTGTGGGCTGTCACTCCCGAGGAGGGGCGGGACCACGGTGGGAGAGGCGCGCCTTATGGGCTGTCCGCGGCCGGGGGGCGGGGCCTCGTTGGGCGGCCCCACCGGGAGGGGGCGGGGCCACGGCGAGCGGGGGCGTGTCCTATGGGCTGTCGCTCCGAGAGGAGGCGGGACCACGGTGGGAGAGGCGTGTCTTATGGGCTGCTTTTCCGATGAGGGGTGGGGCCTCGCTGGGCCTTCGCACCTAGCGGGGGTGGAGCCTAGTAGAGACGCGGAGAAAAAAATACCGGTATCCCTGCTCTTACGAAAGACCTCCATTACTACAGCAATAGCTTTTTTAGTAAAAGCGGTAATCCTCTTCAGATTTCTTTCCTTTAGCGAAAACAGGTACTAATGTAGGTCTTTCGTTAACGGGAACTTTCGGAAAGCAAGGTTGTGCGAAGATTATTCTTCGCCTTTCAATTTACAAAAATGCTCTGCTTTCTGAGAGCCAGGGAAACCTGTAGGCCTCTTCGCATTTTCCTCTGGCCGGTCTCTTGCAGTCCAGACCCCAATTTTCTTGTCACTTTCAAATATCAGAACAAGTCCCCCGCCACCTTTCATCTCTCAGACTTCTTACTTTTCCCCTTTTCTCTGCCCTAGCCACGTTGGCCCCCTGCTCTTCCTAGATCCCACTCACCCAGCTCCCACCCCAGGGTTTTCGTCCCGGCTGTTCCCTCTGCATTCCTTAATTAAGAAGACTGTTTACTTCCTCTCCTCCCTCCAGGGAATAGAATCCCACCTTCTCACTGAGGCCCTTTCTGATCATCCTGTGTAATACTTGCTCTCCTCCACGTCCCACCATCTACCCTACCTGCTCTCCTATATCTTTTTTTCACAGCACGCATCACCTAACATTTTATATTATTATGTTTACTGTCAGTCTCTCCCAAATGTAAGCTTCACAAGGGCAGAGATTCTTGTCAATTTTGTCCGCTGATATATTCCCGGTGTCTGGAACGGCCTTCGATCCACAACAGGCAAGCGATAACCCTCAGTTGAACAAAAGAAAGCAACGAATGAACCCTTTATAAGGGTTCCCTCCATACACCCAGGTCAGCCCAGAGGAATGCCTCCAAGTCCTGCCAAGCCAGAGAAGTGAGATCTGCTCCTCCACACCTCTGCCCCTTTTCTGGGTCTTCCAGGTTCAGGACAGGGAGGAGGGAGACTAGGGAATGGGAACAGAAGCTTGTCACTTGATAGGGGCTGTTTGTTATTCTTTCTAGAACCCCAATGCTCTGTCACGGGAGTTCACAACCTTACTGGTCAGTTCTCACATGGCTGTCTTTTTTAGTAAGCCCTGCATGGATACGTCCAGAAGTTCTCTCTCTTCTGCAGTTGGGACAAATTGTTTGCGAGTCAATAGGTTTAGACATGAATTACTTATTAGGCTTTTTAAAATTGCAGTCTTCCTATCTTCGCAACCCCTGAACTTGAATGGCCCTCCCTCCGTATGACTTCATCTTCTGGCATTTCTATGACCAGAAGGATTGGCGGGGGAGGGGGGACAAAATTTGAATGGAAATATTAAAAAATGCCTTTCGCATGGACAATCTCATTTCATCTCCACAATTAACAAGTTAACATTCTGTGTTAAGTATGACAAATCAGCTGTTGGACAACACAAATGGCTGACCGGGGTGAGTTAATGACATGGGTCCCTGTATTAGTTACCTATTGCTGCATAACAAACCACTACACAGAATTAGGGATTCCCTTCCCTCTCCTTTTGGGGATTTCCTTCACATCTTCTGGCTCCCAGGACCTCCTCTTTCCAGTTCTGCTGGCCAGAAAGCTAAGGTTCTCTTGGAATTTCCTATGCTTTCTATCTCTCATGCACTTCTGTGCAATTGGGGCTGCTCTAAAGGCAGCATTGAGGGAAGAGAGAGAAAAAAATAACGGGGATTCCCCTCATGCTCTGCACAACAGGGGTCCCTTTTCCCACTTCCTGTGTCCAGGGGACAGGTGTTCTTTCAGGGTCTCATTTCCCCATGTCACTGTACTACCACAGTGCAGCACTGTGACTCTGACTGGCCTCAGGCCGGAGGAGGGAGAAGGAAAAACAGTTTTCACCACTTTCTCCAACTTGCAAAGCCTCTTTTGCATATTTTATCCAGAGGTTTTAGTAGTAGTCCGTGGGGGACACAGGCTGCAGTGGACTTACTCCATTTTGGCCAGATCTGGGATGGGACGTACCAATCTGAGAGATGACAACAGGTTTCAATTTGCCTTTCTCTTATGAGGAGTGTGAAAAAGACATTTGTATTTACTTCCCGTGAATTATCGTTCATATATTTTGCCAAATTTTCTTTAAAAAAAAAAAAATGGGGGCGCCTGGGTGGCGCAGTCGGTTAGGCGTCCGACTTCAGCCAGGTCACGATCTCACGGTCCGTTGAGTTCGAGCCCCGCGTCAGGCTCTGGGCTGATGGCTCGGAGCCTGGAGCCTGTTTCCGATTCTGTGTCTCCCTCTCTCTCTGCCCCTCCCCTGTTCATGCTCTGTCTCTGTCTGTCCTATAAATAAATAAAAACGTTGAAAAAAAAATTAAAAAAAAAAAAGTTTGTTTTGAGAGAGAGATGGAGAGACAGAATCCCAAGCACACAGCACGCTGCCAGCACAGAGCCTGATGTGGGGCTCAAACTCACAAACCGTGACATCATGACCTGAGCCGAAAGCAAGAACCAGATGCTTAACCGACTGAGCCACCCGGGTGCCCATATTTTGTCCAATTTTCTACTGGATAGAGAAGGTTTACATAATGGTAAAAAGAGTCCTTTTCTTAAATATGAATGTCAAGACTTTTTCTCAGCTTGCCATATCTTTTGACTTTCTTTATACTGTTTTATTTGCTTGTGTTTTTGTTTTGTCTTGTTTTGTTTGGCAATGCAGATCTTTTCCATTTCTAATTGGTGAATTTTACCAAGGCTTTTTTTTTTTTTTACTACTTTGTATTTCCAGGTTGTATCATACTTAGAAAGACCTTTACCATTCTTAGATTATTTTGAAAATGCTTCCATGGTTTCCTCTAAATATTTCATGATTTCACATTTTTCCTTTAAAAGGAAATTTTTTAGGGGGGCACCTGGGTGGTTCAGTCAGTTGAGTGTCCGACTTCAGTTCAGGGCATGATCTCACAGTTGGTGAGTTCAAGCCCCACTTTGGGCCCTGTGCTGACAGCTCAGAGTCTGGAGCCTGTTTCGGATTCTGTGTCTCCCTCCCCCTCTGCCCCTCCCCCCGCTCACGCTCTGTGGCTGTCTCTCAAAAATAAATAAACATTAAAATAAATAAATAAAAGGAAATTTGTTTGGGTGTGAGTTAAGCAGAATGGATCCAGCTTTACCATATATCTTGTTAGCTACACATTTACCCAAGTTGATTTACTTAATCATACATCTTTCCCTTACTGATTTAAATGTCATCATTATCATATCATTATCATATACTAAATTTCCTTCTGTATTTATGGGCTTTGGCAATATATCATTTTCTTTCTTAAAACTCTCCAGTACAGGGGCGCCTGGGTGGCTCAGTCGGTTAAGCGTCCGACTTCGGCTCAGGTCACGATCTCGTGGTCCGTGAGTTCGAGCCCTGCGTCGGGCTCTGTGCTGACGGCTCAGAGCCTGGAGCCTGTTTCAGATTCTGTGTCTCCCTCTCTCTCTGACCCTCCCCTGTTCACGCTCTGTCTCTCTCTGTCTCAAAAATAAATAAACGTCAAAAAAAAAGCCAACAAAAACAACTCTCCAGTACAGTGAGAAAAGGCCAGCCCACCTTGACAGTTTTTGAATCCCTTATTCCCATCATAACTGTCCAATGCAGCAGCCGCTTAAAGGCTCACTTTCAGTAAACTTCTCATTCCAGGTGACCACAGGTGATATAACTTTTCCCACTGTGTGCCCTAGATTTGTAGTATCCGACTTTCCTCCAGTGACATTGTCTTCAAACCCAGCCGGGTCAGACCCAGTCCCAGAGTTCCACCTTGAGCGCCCGATGCCTGTGACCATCTCTAATACCAAATACAGCAAAACCTTGGATTGCAAATAACGTATCTTGTGAGTGTGGCACAAGACAAGCAAACATTTCTAATAAATTTGAATTTGATAAATGAGCAATGTCTTGTAATACGAGTAGGACGTGATGCCGAACGTCACATGATCACAACTGAGCCAATGGTTCTTGAGACTTGCTTTGATCCAGGAATGCTTTGGATTCTAAGCATGTTTCCGGAACAAATTACGCCTGCAAACCAAGGTTTTGCTGCATGTGCGTGCCGGGGTTAGATCCACCCACAGCCACTGCCTGAATGCGGAGAGCGAACACCTTAAAATGGGACTCTGTGATCTCAGAGTTGGATCCAAAAGCTGCCGCAACCGCTACTGCTTCTTGGCACCCAGGAAGCTCAAGAAGACACTGGGACTTGCACAAAGAAACCCACCACCTTCCTCTCCAGTGGGAGGGCCAGGAGCCCTAGGAAGATGGTTTCCTAATTTCCACTACCTGACTTCAAGTGAGCGCGTCTAACTAAAGAGCCCGGAGTTATCTCTAGGCTTCCAACCACTAGACCTAGAACATCTTCACATAAATCTTGCCCATTTCTTATGGAGTTTCTTTCTAGACATTTACCTTTCTCATTACGTGTGTAAATGAGAACTTTTCTTCCGGTATAGCTTTGTTTGGCTGTTGCCTAT